AAGGTCATAGTCATTGAGTTGAGAGTTCAGAGGTGTGGAGATGCTCTGAGTAGGAAGGAAAACACAAGATGGCTCCTGTAGTGCATTGAAATGTGTCTCCCAAAAAGATAGGTACAAGACCTAATCTTTGTACCTGTGAATGTGAACCTTTTTGGAAATAGGGTCTTTGCAGATGTAAATAGTTAAGATGAGGTCATACTGCAGTAGGGTGGCCTCTAATCCAATAGGGCAGATGTCCTTATGCGAAAAGGAAAAGAGAAACACACAAAAGGAGAATGCATGTGATGATGGAGGCAGAGATTGAAGTGATGCATCTATAAACCAAGGGACTCCGAGAAATGGTGACAACAACAGAAGCTAGAAAGAGGTGGGACAGATCCTATAGCCTTCAGAGATCATGACCCTGCAGGCACCTTGATTTCGAACACCTTAGCCCCCAGAACTGTGAGAAAACACATTTCTGTTGTTTTAAGCCACCCACATTGTGGTACTTTGTTACGCAGCCCTAGGAAACTAATACTGCTCCTTTTAAGGGTGTTTGTTTTGAATACCACACAGAATGGTTTTTAGTGGGTAAGGCTGAGTTAAAGAGTCAGAGGCAGAGAAGAACTTAATTTAAGACCTGAGAACTAAGGCATATTGGGAGTCTGGAGAACTGAACTGGTTGCAGAGCCTGGTGCAGAGAGTGGCTGGATACTAGAAATGTTCCCCAGGCAACCACTCCTTATCACGAAAGGGCAGGAAATGTTGACCCGCTATGGCATGATGGCTAAAGAAGTAGCCCCACAATCCCATTCAAGTTACAGTTCTAACACTCACATGTGGTCCAACCACGAGCCAGGAATGTCACTTCATTTTGCTTCAGTTTTATTTCAGTGTAAAATAGAAAATAGTACTTTTCCCATAGGAGATCTGGTGGTGCACTGGCTAAGCACTTGGCTACTAACCAAAAGGTCAGTGGTTCGAATCCAGCAGCAGCTCCAAAGGAGAAAAGAGCTGGTGGTCGGCTTCCGTAAAGATTGTTAATTAGGTGCCGTCAAGTCATAGCTACCTGTCTTAGTCATCTAGTGCTGCTCTAACAGAAATACCACAAGTGGATGCCTTTAACAAAGAGAAGTTTATTCTCTCACATTCCAGTAGGCTACAAGTCCATATTCAAGGCATCAGCTCCAGGGGAACACTTCTCTGTCGGCTCTGGAGGAAGGTCCGTGTCATCAGTCTTCCCTTGGTCTGGGAGCTCTCTGC